GGATGGAGCGAACGGGTTAGTAACGTGGAGGTAAGCCGTCGTGTGTTTGGGAGTCTGTCAGGCATAAACCTGCTAGCATACCGAATCCAGATTTCTAGGCTTTGGTGGCTAAGGCACGTATTGTGTATGCCCAGCCATCGTCTGTCGCACCGCGCTTTATTCGCTGTAGCTAATCCGGGCGGGAGGAAACCACGCGGAGGTCAGCGGATGACGTGGAGACGAGGCATGAGGAAATGCACAGAACTATTAGGTAGAGTAGGTGTCTCTCGCCTTCCAGGTTGGGATCCGAAAGACTCCACAACTGGTTGGTTGGAGACACAGAAGGATATGGCAGCGAACCGACAGCAGTGGCGTTCTTGTTGTCGTTTCATATCAGGTCAGAATGCTTGAAACCGTTTGTATGCAGAGTTCGATTGCGTACTCTGTGTGTTGACCATAGTGGCTCATCTTCTCCCTTCTTCCTCAAAATAGCAACCCCTGTCCACCTTAAGTTTTACCACCAACCTTGTATGCATTGTGAGTTTGGCAGCGGTCAGTGAAGTTTGCTTCATTGTATTTCGCTGTACGACGATGATGATGATCGTCGTACAGAGAAATACAGTGAAGTGAAGTTTGCTGATTGCGTCGAAACTGGCAGTACATGACGGTGGTATAGCGGATCAGGCAGTCACTGCGGTGCTTAACCCTGTGGTTCGAAGTCGGATTCCCGCCACCTGATTTGGGCGTTTGCAGCTCCGCTGCCATCCAGTTCAGAACTGCGCCTAACGTTTTTTGTGGTTCGTCTTCTAAGACTCACCGCTGAGATTTCCGGTTTTCATTACCGCACACTAGGTTTCTTTGATTACGGGGTTCAAACCACTGTACTTTTCGTCACACAGGTGTAGGAGAATAGGTCCGTGAGAATGATACGATGGTTTCAAGGAAAAGAAGCGAGCCTTTGTGTTCAACTCGCAGTACACAATCTAACTGTAGATAAACTTTCAAGCATTCTGATTTGATAGTAAGTGAGAACAAGAACACCTGCTGTCGTTTAGTTGGCATGTCCTTCGGTGTTACCAAGCAATCAGTTACAGTCTTTTGGGCCCTAGTCTGGGAGACGGAAGATACCTACTCGACATAATCGCTCGCTGCATTTATTCATACGTCGTCTCCACGTCATCTGTTGGCATCCACATGATTTCCTCCAGTCCAGAACGGTAACTACAGATAAGGCTACCGTTAGATATACGCAACGTGTGCTAACCTACCGAGCCTATTAAGCTTCATTCAGGATGAAAGCGAACGTTACCTCGATACATTTCCTCACACACGTCGATCAACCTCAAGGATACTAACCGGCTCTAGCCATCCCATCCGGGCCAGACTACGTAAGCACCGATTATCGGTAACCTTCAGTCGAAGTGTCTGGTACCCGCAGATTTAACGTCCCACAACTATAAAACGGAACTAACCGACCCAGGGCGCAGTATACGCGACTTTTTAACTTCAGCGAAACGTCAGCGCCACACCTGTCCCAGTCCTGCGTCCGCTGCTTGATTCTTGGAAATACGAGCAACTTTCTCTTTTGCTACCATTGTTGGTAACGCAACTGCATCACTAAGAAAAACAGTCAACTTCAGCCAATTCCTGCCCATCTAGTTTCAAAACAGGACTAGTCAACACCATCTTGTAACATAACTGCACTTTGAAGGTGGAAAGCGCGTACCGCACGGAGTTGCGGAACTTGTCAATCTGTCAGGAGCGTTTCGTGTGTTCTCCATAGATTAGAGCAGATAAACGATGTCGTCAGCCCGCTCTAAATTGCTAAGTTTTCCCCATCTATTTCAGTACTAACATTTTGGATACCATATTCTCCGGTATTTCGTCCAGGACGAAATTGAACAGGAATAGCGAAATAAAACACCCCTGATGAACACCGCTCCTGGTTTCCAACGGTTTGCTTATCTCGTCGTTGATCCGTATACAGCCAGAAGTATGTGTGCAGTGTTAACGTACTTCACCGGCATCACTTTTTTGGTGAATTGAACCCGTTAAAGGTTTGCTTTCAACTGAGTCGAAGGCTCCTTTTTATCCAAGGAACTTTGCGATCGTTGGTCGACGATGTGTATGGTGTAACCCAACGCTTTATGCACCCTGAAGATTTGATTGATAGCCGCAACCTGGTTGCTATCTTGTCCGCTGTTCATAGAGAAATTTCTTTGATGACAAATGAGATGAAATTAATCCCGCGGAGGTTTACGCAATGATTGCGAATTCTTTCTTAAAATAGAATAAATATTTACATCAAGATCACGAAATGCCCTCCTGTGCCCCGTTGTTACGCAGTAAATCAGTAATGAACTCTACTAACCTAGTTTGAAAAGAGTGGGAGACAGTCAGTCAGGTCCCACTTGTTTTCTCCTTTCAGATCTTGAGTGCTTGATCCTTTTGTACCTATGGGAGGTCACGTGACTGCTCACACAGCCCTCACCTTCTTCGGACGAGATAATCTAATTTGGACCATGCCAGGCGGGCGTTACAATACTCCGCCCAGCGCTCAAGCCGTTGCTTCCTTGTCCACTTTTATCGCAGTTGGTTTCACATACAGAAATCCACCGACCTCCCGTATTGCGTATGTCGGAACATTTCGAACATTTCCTGGTGCTGAGGCTACT